CTGCAGCGGATTCATGCACAGGAAAGGCCCTTGGTGCAGACTCATGGATAGGAAAGGCCTCAGGGACAGACTCATAGGCAGGAGAGGCCACTGGGGCAGACTCGTGGTCAGGAGAGGACTCTGGAGCGCAGTGTGAAGCCCACACGCTCAAAATGGCGACCGCCATTACAGGAAGGGCAGGCAGAGAGGCTTTGGCGTAGCAGACATGACGTGAGCAGGCTGTGGCTTGGCAGACATGATGTGAGCAGACTTTGGCTTGGCAGGCATGACGTGAACAGACTTTTGGGAAGTGTCATGTTCCTCCTCCATGACACCTACAGTGAATGGTGAATTAGCCAGCAACAAGGCAAAGTCAATATATTTTTCCAGTGACCAACAAATCTTTCCCCCAGGCAACTGAGAACGAATGGGTTCATTTAAACCCACTCGAAAAATGTCCTTAAGGGCCACATCATTAAAAGCCACCAAATGGCACAGTCCACAAAAGTCCTCCACATAGTCCTCTATGGTCCGACTTCCCTGACGAAGGCTCAGAAGGCAAACAACTGCTGGGTTAATTTTTTGCTGGTCGTGTATTCTGTAACGAATAAGTCCACTGAAGGCGAGCGTAGTGAGAACCCAAGTGCAGTTTATTTACAGTGTGATCCAAACATCCAAACAATAATACGTGACTTGACTTGACATGAACAGACTTGACTTGACTTGACTAGGCATGAACAGACTTGACAAGGCATGAACATATTTATATATATATATATATATATATATATATATATATACACACACACACACACACAGTGATTTATGTAATTCATCTGGATTTTATTAGTTTTTTTTATATATTTTATTTTTGACTGCAGCTCATGACCAATAAACCCACTTCCTGATGAATACCTCCGATATTCGCAAGTAGATAAACTAAAAGATTCAATGTATAGAAACAATCTTCGATACTCTTCAGAAGGGTCAGCTAGTTTTATCGTTTTATGTCTCAGTTCTCATGAAGTCACTGCTCCGACAGATATGAAGCAATCAAATGCAGACAAGGTTGATCAAGTTGAACAGTCCTGGTGATGTTTTGCTCAGACAAGTTTGTATCAAGGCTTGAGAGGTCCAGAAAGTCACATGACAGTTGACTTCACTTTGTTCTTGCTGTACTGCTGGAGTTTATCTTCCATTAGCTCTCAAGTCATTTACAACCATTATAGACATAGAAAAGCACCGCGCTATCATAACTTTGTGGTGTAACAAGTTCTTTCCTAGAAATGACTGACCGTTCGCTCAGCTTTTGGAATTTGATGTATTCAGGTGATAGTGGAAACACTAATGCGCATCATTTGTAACTTTTTTTTTATTCACTTAAGTTGTGGGTTAGTCCAAGTTCAGCTCTTAAACGTATATTACATCTTTCTTTTAGCGTACTGACCTACATTCAGAACAAAGAAAGCTTTATGGTTTACCAAACGGTTATTGCGTTAAAGGGGTCATATGACGTTGCTAGAAAGAACATTATTTTGTGTATTTGGTGTAATGAAATGTGTTTATGCGGTTTAAGGTTAAAAAAACATTATTTTCCACATAATGTACATTATTGGTAGGGCTGCACGATTAATCGAATGCGATTGTCATGCGCATTTTGTTAAAAAACCGGTTCTGTAATCAGCAGGAAATCATCATCACATGCTTTCAGATGGAGCAGCATTTACTACACATAGCCGTAGTTCACTGACAAGTTACGAAAAAAATCGCAGACTATTTTATATGCGATTCTGAAATCATTCGCGATAATGACAATGCTCTGTGAAGTAAATGCTGCTCCACCTGAAAGCACGTGAAAATACCACATTTAATAACATATTTTTACTCCAAACTCACTTCATAACGTCAGTCGAGTGTTTGAAATAAATCCTTCTGTGAGATGATGTGGCTTCTTACATAGAATAAGGCAAGCAACATATTTCATAGTATTTAAGCAGTGATAAAGGCATTGCATTATAAATATACTTTATTTTAATGAAAATTATAATAATAAGAACTCAGATAAAACCGTATATTGCCGTAGTCGTGTGTTTATTAGTCACGTTGAATCAATGAAAGCAGTTGAATCTTCTGTTTATTCAGCTGCAGCGATAGGCATTTTCTGGGTTTCTTCTGCGAGGCGTATTTGGAGTTTCAGCGCGAGAGATGGCCTTTGGATGGAGATTTACTGCTGATCACAGAACCGTGCTTCACTGAAAGATACCCATGACAATCACAGCTTCTGTCGAATCGCGATCTCGATTCCATTTTGATTTATCATGCAGCCCTATTTATTGTTTCTCCTCTATGCCCCCCGTCGATTTTTACAAAGCTCATCAGGCTGAAAAGCGAGGTGTGCTCTGATTGGCCAGGTATCCAGTGCGTTGTGATTGGCCGAATACCTCAAGCGTGTGACAGAAATGTTACGCCCCTTACCATATTGTGATGCCCTGTTCGGCCGGAGCGACGAGACAAAAACATTAAAACCCATTATAAACAAGGCATTTGTTGCGTCCATTGGGGACATAATTACTGATTATAATGACTTATACTGTCTTTTTACGTGTTGCGTTGCATCTCGCTGCTTAAACATAAAAACATCTCTGCATTTGTGATCGGAGAAACGACAAACAACAAGCGCTACACTACACTGCTCAAAACTCGCGTTTGAATCATCAGTGGCAAATCCTTTAAATGTGAAAACGTACTTACAGGCTGTGAGTCAGCATTATTTGTCAGCATCATAGACCATATAGGGTCAGCATGCGCGCCGGGAAACGGGAACTGAATTCACCGGAACACCGGCATTGTAGGATACTCTCCAGGAAACAGTCCTCGCCCTCCATAAAATGCGCAGCACACATCTGAATATTTGGGTTGAACTGTTCTGGAACAGTGTTGTAAATACAACTTAACCACTGATTTCTAGTCGTGTCCTCTTTTGGAAGACCAAACAAAGTAGTTTCGCTTTCATAACGAAACACACAGCGTCTTCACGACATGACGGCGGCGGCAGCAACAATACTACAGCGAGAATAAAAGTTGCGCCTTCTTTCTTTGCGTGAACATTTGGGCAGCGCAATGCAAATCTTCCCACATCGTGATGTAGACATGTGGGGGCGTGTTAGAACGAGCCGTTTTAGGTAGGCGTGGTTGACTCTAAACTTTTATAAAGAATATCTCTTTGGATTTGAGACTTTAGTCTTTGCAACTTTACAGATCTTCTTTATGCACCAAGAGCTTGTAACACTCCAAAGAGAAAGGAAAAATTGAAATTGCATCATATGCTTGGTTGCTTCAGTGTCCAACATATTAACCCTATAAAGTCTGAAAACATAATGACAATAATAATTGTCATCAAATTTTTTTTTTTTTTTTTTTTTTTTTAAGTGGAGCAGTTTGATTCTTTAGGCGAAATCTAAAAAGAAAAAGCGTGCATATGTGTCTTTGTTGAGTATCAGGCTTTTTATTCTCATATCATAATAAGGATGTGGAGCTCATACTTGAGGGAGAAAAAACACCTACACTCTGAGGAAAGATATTAAATTTGCAGTTGCTGATCTTTATATGGCCAAAAAGTGAAGATGTAATTCTGATAGCTAATGTAAATCAATGAGATCTTTATAACAGTATAGCAGACACTTACATAAAACACGAATAAATATCAGTTGTCACTCGTGCAATTTAAATGCTTTGTTTACGATCAAAGCTCTGTCAGTTTTATTGTGAGGGAAAAAACATAATGCAATGCAATACAAAGATGCTTGAGAGATGAATGAATAAATGTTCCTCAAAAACATGATGCGTCATATTTGATCCTTGCATTTTAACGTGATTTATGGATACTCAAGTAACACCTGTTTCAGTCCAGCGGGTGTTCATCTTGAAATATTGCTAACAGTTACAGTACCTTCATAAGTTTCTCTTACATTTACGACATAAAAATCAGAAAAGATTTCACAGTTAAAAGACACGTGTATCATGAGCTGAAATAAGTTTTTAGAATGGACATTTTTAGAAAAGGCCTTTTACTTGCTAAAAAAGTATAAACTATCAGTCATATGACAGAAGGAATATAGTTTTGATCATGTTGATAATTTCCCTATCAAATATGATGCACTAGGCTTTATAGGGTTAACCTGCTTAGGATTTATTTTTGTCAGGTTTTCTTTGGTGCTTTTCCACCAGACCTTTATTATGAGGGTATTTCTGATGACGTCACTAAACGGTTCTGCTCTGTTTATGGCTTTTAAATGCTTTCCTCCAGTCTAAACAAGGAAATCACATGGCAGATGTTTCAAATAATCTGCCTTTATATATTTCCTGGAATATTAAATGACTTTTAGATACACTGCACTTACTCTGTTACTCAAGGCTCTGATTTATGGTTTTTAATGCTTTTTTAAAAAATTGTTCATAAAGTCATGGAGGAGCTGGACCCGGAGGAGCAGTTCCTCAGGGATTCTAGGAACGGCAACCTAGAAGGAATCCAAAAGCTTTTGATGTCCAAGATAAAGGAGGAGGCCAAAATCGACATCAACTGCAAGGGTAGAACACTTCATTAGGTTTCTATTGACCACTTGAATGTTTCTAGACATATTGGAGTACTTCTAACAGCGTTACGTTGTTTCAGGCAAGAGCAAATCTAATCATGGATGGACTCCTCTTCATCTGGCCTGCTACTTTGGACACAGAGATGTTGTTGAGGCCTTACTGAAGGTATCGATCATCTCAGCCTTTTATATTCTCATATATGTGTGCACTGGTATGTTTCAGAGTAGAATTTGCGCTTGGTATTTTAATGTTTAATTGTTACTCATCTGTGCTTCTTACAGGCTGGAGCAGATGTTAATTTGCCAAATAATGTCGGAGACACACCTCTCCATAAAGCAGCATTCACTGGGAGAAAAGTATGCATTAATGGTATCATACATGTTCATGCACTAGATATTAGATATTAGCTAGATAGACTGATAATCAGTTTGACTAATATAAAAAAAAAAAGAAATGCAGCCAACAATGGTATTACAGAAACATTTGTTTCCTGTATGTCTTTGATAATTGTAAACGTTTTTTACAGGTAAGTAATGTTTTAAATTAAAGATGTAAAATAAATTTGCAACCTCTGAGATCACAAATCAACTTGACATAATTAACAACAATAATTTAAAAGGAGAAATGTTGCTTTGGCGACGAGCTGGTTTATATATATATAAAAATTATGTTTATTTAATGTCAAGTAATGACATTTTTTTTATGGTTTTAATTGAAGTTATCTAATATTTTGATTACATTTGAATATTTTCAAATAATATAATTATTAATAATAATTTATAATGGTTTATCATAATAATATCATAATGATTTATGTTTTTATTGGTGTAGTCTAATAATCATTATCATCATCATTATTATTATTATTGTATCAAAAATTTAAAATAAATCAATTAAAAATCACACATTGTGCACATTGGCTATCGGTTAGCAGTATCGGTCATAAAAGGCATTTTTGGGCAATCTCTAATAGAAGTGCTATACTGTTGAGCCATATGAATGTGTGCAGCCTTAAATCACTGACATACAGTAACTACTCACCTGAATGGTAATACTGACTGGATACTGAAAGCCGAACGCTGATTGGACTCTGAATGCTGGTTTTGCGGTTTAGGAGGTTGTAATGTTGCTTCTTCAGTACGACGCTTGCGCTTCTGTCATCAATGGCATGGCCCAGATACCTAAAGACATTACCCAGAGTGCTGAGATTAAAAGCATGTTGGAGGGTAAGCGTGCTGAAAGTGCATGAAATCGTACTGAACGTGTTTTGGATAAAGTCTGCTGAATGATCACTAAATTATTACCATTCAATTTTTTACCTTCTAGCTGCTGAGAGGACTGAAGAGAGGAAACTAGAGGAGCAGCTGCTGGAGGCGGCGCGGGAAGGAGCCATATCTACCCTCACAAGACTGGTTACCTTGCTAACTACTTGTTGTTCTACCCTGTCGCTAAACCACTTTGAGCAGTTGTAATGTCTGATCTTGTTCTTCGTGTAGCTAAACATGAAGAAACCCCCAAACATAAGCTGCACAGACTTGTTGGGCAACACGCCGCTGCACTGCACCGCTTACAGAGGCCAGAAACAGTGCGCCGTCAAACTCCTGCAACACAAGGCCAACCCCAACATCAAGAACAAAATCGGTAGTGAGCTCCACCTTATTGTAGCGTCATGTTTCAAAGCATTCAACACTGTTGTGTTTGTCGCCAGGGCAATATTTTCTCAATCCGCTGTTGTTTTCATTGTTTTAGTTTCGTTACTGTCATAGTCATATTTTGACTATTTTAGTACAACTACAAATATATATGAAACATTACAATTATTAAAATAAAACAGAATAACGACATGAATTTTTTTTGTTTGTTTTATATTTGAATGACCTCTGACTTTTTGTGGTTGCCTGATACATGTTGATTAATTTTTTGCATTTTTGTTTCTCATTTGTTTTTAGATCAGACTGTTTTTGATTTGGCGAACGATGCAGAAATGAAGCAGATCATTACAGGAAATGTTATGAAAGTAGGTTAATTGGACAGTTCTGATGTAACGATGTCACAAAAATATATGTATTTCAAAAATACCTTGTCCATCACCATATCATAACACTGATGTTTTGCAGATTTTACACTTATTTATGATGGTGTAGCCTTTTTTTGTGAATTTGGTTTCATTGTTACGACACTTTCATCCTATAGGGTATGACGCGACATGTTAAAATGTTCGAGGGGCCTCTTTGGAAGGTATGCTTTATCAAAATCTATAACTATAGTAGACATATTTTGAAAAAGAATTTATTTGTTATTATTTATTTTTATTGATTTTCTTTTTTTTATGTATTTAATTTTCTTTTATATTTTTATTTCAGAGCTCAAGGTTTTTTGGCTGGCGCTCCTACTGGGTAGTTCTTCTGGATGGAGTCTTGTCATGGTACCCTAAACGGTGAGTATCTGCCTCTATTCCCAAAATGTGATGCTATAATTGAAATAAATGTATAATATATAATAGAATGTAATGATAGTAAAATTGCTGGAGTTAAAGACTCATTTTGCAAAATGTGCAGAGATAAATGTTGTAAAACTTCACATTTTTTGGAATGTTTCATATGTGAAGAAAATAAATACTGTAAAATTGTACATTTACAATATTTTTTTAACTCAAGGTCATAATATATAATAAAATGTAATGTTAAAAAAAATTGCTTAAAGACTTGTTTTGCAAAATCTACAGAATTTGTTTTTTATTGTAATGTTTCATTTTTTAATTTAATGTCATAATATATAATACAATTTTATGATAGCAAAATTGCTTAAAGTTGCTTAAAATTTGCAGAATTTTTCTTTGAAAACTGTTTTTATTGTAACGTTTCATCCTTTTTAGCTCAATATATGTATATATATATATATATATATATATATATGTGTATTTATTAGTATATATTTATTGGTGTCATAATAAATAATAAAATATGACAGTAAAATTTCTTAAATTAAAGAGTTATTTAGCAAAATTCAAAGAAATAAATATTTGAAAACTGTCGTTTTTTATTGTGAAGTTTCATCCTTTTTTTAAACCATCATGGTTATAATATATAATACAATTTAATGATAAATAAATTGCAAAAATTAAAGACTTATTTTGCAAAATTTGAAAAAAATAATTTATTGTAGTGTAACTCTTCAAGGTCATAATATATAATATTTTTTAATGATAGGAAATTACCTAAAAAAATGGATTTTCAAAATGTGCAGAAATAAATATTTGAAAACCTTTTTCCCAGTAACTTTTCATTCATTTTTTTTTTAACTCCTCAAGGTCAGATGCAGATTCAAACACTCACCGGCAAGGTTGCAAACCGCTAACACAAGCGCAGAGCTTGGTAAGATTCATTTGATGATTTATCAGCAATGAACAAAATGCTGATTCATGTTTTGTTGGATTGTTAACAGGATTTCTCAAACTGCTTTTCTTTCCAACTTTCAGATTAAAGCGAAAGATAACTGCTATTTCACAGTCAGGTGCTTTGATGACACTGTTCACCATTTCAAAGTGTCACAGAAGAACGACCCCGAATCCACCAGAAAAGTGAGATTCCTTTCAGTTTTGAGTTGATTAGCTGATTGGCATGTCACCATATTCTAATTTGTTGAGGTAGTGAATTGGTGGGTTTTTGTTAAATGTGAGCCAAAATCATCACAATTAAAAGAACCAAAGACTTAAACTACTTCAGTCTGTGTGCATTGAATTTATTTAATACACGAGTTTCACAATTTGAGTTGAATGACTGAAATAAATGAACTTTTCCACGACATTCTAATTTATTGAGATGCACCTGTATTCAGGGTCTAGACTTTGACATGTCAATAATACATCCACAGCGCCAAATACGCATAAAACGAGTGTGCCATGAAATACGTAATGTAATGCGTGTTGTAAAGATTGCGAGTAAAAACAAAAACAAAAGAAAAAGAAAAGCTTACAGCTGCATGAGTCGTGACTGTCACGTTAGCCTGATGGGACCAAACTCTCTTTGTGATTTTAAAACGTAAGACAGTACCCAGATTTGAAGACTACAGTAAGATTTAACTTCTACTGTTAATAAGATTTTGGTAGGCTACTATTAGATGGATAGCCTAAATGTCCTAATTCAGATTGGATACCTGTTTTTTTTTTTTATGGTATATCAAAAAGTGTATATTTTTTTGATGTAATTGTTGGTACATTTTACCAGTTTTTACCATACTTTCAAAACAAAAATTAAAATAGGAAAAATATGCAATATGAAAATAATTGAAGACAAAATGTGTTTTACATTTGGTTTTTAAAAAGCCTTTTTCCAAAAGGAATATCTGGAAAAAGGGGGGTCATCTTATAATCAGGGTCGTCTTATATTCGGGCCAATACGGTATATACTGTGTATATATATATATATATATATATATATATATAAATAAACTTTTAAACATACAGTGAAAACTTTTAAATATATATTACAAACATTTTATAATTACAGACAATGAGGCTATGACTAAAATTAAAATGAATAAAAATAAATACATAAGTTGAAATTGTTATTGTAATTGTTGTTCGGATCATGTGACAATGTTATATTAGCTGAAAAAGGTTGTATTGTTTACATAATTACAAAGATGAATTCTGGCACTGAAAACAATTTTTTTGTTCATTTTTAGTTAGGAAAGAATATTTTAGGACATTAAAGAGTTATATATAATAATATAATATAGTATACAATATAATTATATATACATTGTGCACTAAAATACATTATACCATAAATACACTGCATGATTTAATTAATAATAATATTATTTGCAGAAAATTATGGCGCTGCTGTCTACATTAAACATTGTAGAGATAACACAAAATTAATTATTATATATATATATA